TTTATTATTTTATAATGGACTGAGTTGCTTAAAATAAATAAAAAACATTTAAAATTTGATACAAAATTACTCATGTTAACAATTTTAAATATTTTATCTATAAATAAATTATAATAAAATACTATTTTTATTCATAAATAAATTTGTAACCAACTTCTGATAAAATGTCCTTTAGGAATTTTAAAATGGTATCCACCATAACTTTTAATAATGTAGATTATGTCCTTTTTTAAAATGGTAATTGTTTATTTTATTTTAAAAAAAATAAAATTAACCAGTGAAAATATAATTGCGAAAGTATTTATAGGTTTACATTTTTTTTATAATTAATCCTTTCTAATATTATTTTTATTTTATTATATTTTTCTTTAAATTATATTTTTCTTATATTTTTATTATTTTTTAAATATATAAATCATAATAATTATTTTTTCTTTAATTGTAATACTTTTATTTTCCAGGATGATATAAAAGAATGCAAAATAATCTCCTTTTATATATATATATATATATATATATATATATATATATATATATATTACAGATAATCAACTTATTTTTATTTAATATATTATTATACTATTAAAAATATTTTTTATTAAATTCAAACTTGAAATTTAGTTAAATCTTTAAATATAAAATCATTATTTTATTAATTTAGTGACCAATTTAATTTTAATAATATTATTTAAATCTTTATATATTAGGGATTATAATTACTTGTTTTCATCTATTTCATTAGTGAAGATTGTTCAATAATAACTTTCATTATTCTAATTAATTAGGTGCTATAATATTTTATTTTTAAATAAATAAATATATCAATTCATGTGCGCATATAATATGTAATATATATAGTTAAACTTGTTCAAAGTTATTTCTTTATAAAAACTTTCAGAAGACAAAAATAAAAATAATTTAAAATAAATTGTTCAGTTAAAATTAACTTATATATAAATAATTCACAAAAATTCTCTCTTATATTATTTTAATTTATATATAACTTAATTTTAATTTTTTTTTATCTCTCAACAATTCTTATAAGTAAGTTTGTCCAGACACACTTAATAAATATATATATATATATATATATATATATATAATATAATAAAATAATTTATTTTAATTATATTTTTTATAAAATATTAGAATGTTTTTAGTTTCACTTTTTTATTTCTTAGGTAACGAATAAATAATAAGTCAACTTATCATTCAATCTAAAACATTAAATCAAATTATTATTAGTTATTTATTAAAATTATTTTATATTTATTATTATTTATATAATTTAATTTTTTATGTTATTTATTATATATTTAATAATATATAATATAATTATCAATAATTTAATATACTAACTTTATATGATAATTGAAAATATCATTTATATTATAATATTAATTATAAAAAATAATATTAATAAAATAAATAAAATTAAGTATATTAAAAATATTATTAATATAAAATTTATCATCATTATTAATTATAATAATAACTATTATTAAAATATAAAAAGTAAAAATATGTAATACAATTTTAATATTTTGTTTATATTAAAATCGCTATATGACCTTTTTGACTTTTGGTAGAAAAAACTTTTATCCGGTAAAGAAGGTAAAAGTTTTCTAATATCTTTCCAGATTTCGCTTTCTTTTTCATTGCTTGAATTTCATTTATTAAATGAGACCATTAAAGCTTACTAGTACAAGGAAACATTATAGTTTATGAAAATATGAAGTTGGAAAAATATTAAAAAAATAATGTTACGAGGAAAGTAAGTGTTTTAAATTAATCTTTGACTAAATTTCCAAAAGAACATTTTCATAGGGGTTGAAAATCATATTATTTTATTAAATGATCTAATATGATAAAGAATAATTATTTTAATAAAAATAACATATTTTAGTCATTTTCAATTTGTAGAAATTATAACTTTTAGGGTTCACATTTTTTTCAGCAATTAATAATATTAATTTCTGAGTATAAAAAAATCCTACCAAAGATCTCTGATAATTTATATATATATATATTTTTTAAAGTACTTTCGGCCTAAATAATTCTGAACTTATTTTGCATCACGTTCTGTATCTTCTTTATTTCAAGCTCTCATGCTTAGAAAATAAAGTAGAACAAAAAAGAAACACAATCTTTTCCTTTTTGTTCTCTTAATTGAATTGGAATCGTCGATATTGTACCATAAATTTTGGATTCGTCCATGCACATCTTTTTTTCGAAGTTGTTTCAGAACTGCTACGGGAATATATATTGGTAGGGTACATACAGATTACACAGAATTAGAATATTTATATCATATTTTTGACCAAGTCTACCATAATGTTCAAGGCTGACATATGGATGATAGGAAAATAATTTGTTTTAATACAATATATTAATATTAACATATTGATCATAACATGGTACATACGTAAATTAATAATGATTTTTTTTTCTTAAAATTTGGGGTAAAAGTATAATCAATTAATAAAATATTAACTAAATAAGAAATCAGAGAAAAAAAAAATACAAATTAATGAACCACTTTATATCCACATTGTAGAAGCATAGGATTTTAGAGCGAAGAATATTAAGAGAAGTATACCATAATACCACCAACGAGAATTTCCACGAGAAGTCTGAACCGAAAAGAAATTGACATTATTACTATTAATTCGTGATAATGGAGACTTACGAACATTGGAAATTTTGATACGTGCCAAAACAGCACTTGCAGATGGGTTGATTGATTTGTTTACTTCATTTCCAAAAATATTCTTAGAATTTTTGGCAAGAAATCTCCATTCCTAGTTCATGGATGCAAAAGTGCTTGGTTATCCAAAAGAAAGATAAAAGACAAAAGAAAAGAAGCAAGTTGTGAGTTAAGTAAAAGCGCAAAAAACTTAGTCAAGACCATATTTCTTGTCATTAAAGTCACTGTTCTTCTGCATCATCATCATCATCAAAATATTAGAGAGCATAATTCAGAAAAGTGCTTAAGTGATTACTAATACACGATTTTACGTAATCTTCAATCATTAATAATTTTAATCAACGTTGTAATGTCGAGTAAATGACGGTTCAGAGTACATAATTAATATCATCATTAGTGTCAGATTTTACTTTGTTATTGTTCTGTTGATTAAAATAATGCTTCATTCTTTTCCTTACAAAGAAAGAGTTATGCATTTCTTCTGCCTTTACAGCATGTATGCATAGTTTTCAAGATGAAATAAATAGGAATATCTTAGCGTGACATAATATTTACACCTTACTTAATGCTGATTCCAATTTACGTTTTGACCACAAATCTTTAAATATCTTTCTCTTTAGTTTTCCTAAAGTTTTCTCTTTCACCATCTGTGCAAAGTAAAGGGAATAGACCAGAACACATTGCTTAAATGGTTTTGAATTTAAGTAGACTTGGTTGTATATAAATTCTACTCTTTCTTTTTCAAATTATACACGCAATTTACGACCAGTTGTGATTGACCATGACCATGTTTGGAAGAAAAAATTGTGCATATTCAGTCTTGAATGGGAGAATTTACACTGTTTCTCACTCTCAAAGCAAATGTCTTTCTTTGTTACTTTATGCTAATATCACTACTCACAAGTGTTCATCATGAATCTGGCTGGTGGCTGTCCTACTTTATAAGGGCTGCAATTACTTAGTAGTTACCTCTAAGCACCAAGTTTCTCAGTTTATAGTTTATTTTCTAATTTGGTTTAGTTGTTAACTAGTCAGATTTATTTCAAGTGAAATCTCAGCATTGAGGCTCTAAAGTCTAAATCATAATAGTGGTGGCATCCAAGAAGTACTAATTGACCAAACCCCCCACAAAATAATACTACCAAAAAAAAAAATGCAACAAATGCATGAAACGGATCATATGTCATTTATTACAAATTTAATGAGTGTGACTGAAAGTTTTCCATAAAGAACCAAAAGGCCTGCCTCAGCTAGATACCTTGAGTCACGCCCAACTAAGCCAAATTAATCTGTCAGCCAAGAGTAAAATAAGAGATCTGCTTGCTTTTTCTCTTTTCTCAAATCACCTTTACAGATTTCCCAAAAATGGCAATGAAAATTTAATGAAAATCAGGTTCATTGATTCAATCACCAGCTCTTGTGGCCATCAAGTTTTTTCTAATTCACTTAGTAATATGATGATAATATCTAGTAGCTGTTATGAAGATGTATGTGAAAAGCTGAAAACAGCTTCAAGCAGAAAAGGGAGATAAAATGATTAGAGGTAGAGAAAAAATAAAAAAGAAAAAAAAGAGAGAGAAAAAGATGTGCCATATGAAACATCTTAATTGTTTTGGTGAGTAAAATAAAGAAATGAAAGAAACATATTCCTCTTCCTCAACTGTACAATGCTGGTGGTCAGAAGTGGAAGTTACTTTTCTACCATTAAAATATGCAGGTTGATTAACTTCATGCGAGAATGAGTTGATTTATTTAATATTCACAAGCAATGAATGGTATAACAGTTACTCAGTAGTATTTGCTTGGAAGCTGAAACAGAGCCCACTAAAACACGCATGCTTCCAACTCTTCTGCATAACTCCATCACAAAGTAAAAGAAAAACAAACTAAAACACCCAACTAAAGTATCAAATCCCAGAAATGAGAAATCCTCCTAGTAAATTATTATTATATAAAAAAGTACAAAAGTTTAAGCTAAAATGAATAAGCATAAAAAGTTCAGTTCTTCCATTAATAGATGCTCTAACTCTATCTTGAAAAAGTCATACCTTACAGAAACAAACTAACAAGCATAATAACAGTTGCTCAGAACCGAATTTGAGAAGAATTATGAGATTATTAGATGAATATGAACTATAGAGTAAGTAGCCAAGTAAAAGTATAAGCTATAACCCAAATGGCTGAATAAATCTAAAATTGCAATTTAATAACGAAACCAAAATTTTGTACCTTCGGATCAGGGCCTAACTAGTCCAAGAAAAAGAAGAACAAGAAGTTCAAGCAAGAAAACGCTTCACTGTTTGACAAACTCTGCATCCGAAAGAGCAGAGTGATCCAACTGGCTAATATCTTCATCATCATCCATTGGAGCTGGGAGATTAAGATCTAACAAACTGTCTTCCATTCTAGCAGAAGCTCTAACCGAAACAGCTGCAGAAGTTCTAACAGTTGCGGTGGCAGTAGTTGCAGAAGAACCTATAACATGTGTTCTCTTGTGTCCACCAAGGGCTTGACCCGAACCAAAGACTCTAGAGCAAACGGGGCATTCGTGGATTTTCTTCTCCGCCGTAGCAACATGCTCCAGTTCAAGTGCAGCTTTCTGAACCTCGGTTTCACAGTTCAACTTCATCTTCTTGTGACTCGCTCTGTGCCCACCAAGAGCTTGGTAAGATCGAAACACCTTGTTACACGTTTCACATTTGTACCTCCCTCGCACCTTGTTACTCTTCTTAACAGATTTCATCTCCTCGGATTCATAACCATTTTTTGCTTCATCATCCTCATCTTCATCCTCATCTTCTTCGTCATCGTCATCGTCATCCTCATCTTCAATCTCATCATTATACTGTTGTATGCTTTTATGATCATCATACCCCTTCCACCTGTCACGAGACAGCATCATTAAACAAAATGCCAAGTCTTCTTCCGTTGTGGTATCCGAAGCAGAACTAGCAGATTCGTTCTTGCTATTATTTTCACAAAGTTTCATCCTTTTTAGGGGTTCTCCGAGTTGCCACGCTCTCTTGGACCGTTTCCGAGTTGGGTTCTTGGATGACTCGGTCTCGCTTTCTCTATCTTGGAGGATGACGGAGCCTGTGTCTGCTGCGAAGGAGAATTCAGGATCTGCAAAACGGAAACTTTTCTTGGGATTCTCTCTGAGAACGTAGAAGGAAGAAGAGGATTGAGAAGGGGATGACTCGGCCTCAAAACTGAGTTGAACCGGGACGAACTCGCTCTCTTTCGGTGGAACGGGTAGGTTCATCATGTGAGACCTCATGTGACCTCCCAAAGCTCTTCCATTTGCGAAACTCCTAAAACAAAGCTTGCACTTGTGCTTCTCCATCAAAAAACAGAGCAAAAACCTGAGCACACACACTTGTGCTGTGTTTAGTTTAACCTTTGTGTGTGTTCTCGTGTATAAAAGGAGTAGGTGCAGGTTACAAAGTGTTGCTCCACCAAGGAAGAATATGTAATATGGAGTGGGATAAATCAGTAAATAAATAATTTCAGATTTTCATAAAGTAAACAAACAAAAAAAAAAGTAATCGTGGATTCTGTTTTTTCTTTTTTCTTATTTTCCTCTTTGATTTCGGAAATTTTTTTATTTTGTTACCTTTTTTTTTTTTATGAATGGGAGATTTTATTTGTTTTTTCTCGATTTATTTATTTATTTGCTTGGGCTTTTCTTATTTTCCTTAAATACCCTTAGAGATGGGATCAAAAGAGAAAATATGAGGAAAGGGCAATTTTGGAAATTCGCAGTGGTTTTGCAGAGTGAACCGGTTGCTTGGTTGTCCAAGTCAAGAAAAAGAAAACTGCTGAGCCTTGTTTGTTGTTGTAACGAAGAAGCTTTTTATTTTATTTTAAACTGCGGAAGAAGAAAGAACTGATGGTTAATATCACTTGCCTGTGACTTAACATTCAACAGCACAACATAACCATCAAATCGATGCGTGACACATAACTCAAATTACCTACCTGTCTTTTCTGTAGGCAACCACTGGTTAATGTCACAGTCATAGCTTAATTAAAAGATAATAAAATAAAATGACTGCTATTTTTCCTTTATTTAATTTTTCTGTTTCGATTCTATTCCATAATTAATCTGTTACTTTCGGAGGCATTAAGGGAAAAAAGCCCATGTAACTTATGCCCTGCTACGGTCCTTTAATCGGTTTTTACTTTATATTAATTACAAAAGGAAGGATATATGTTTTTTTTTAAATTATATTTTCGGTCTTTATATTTTTAAATTGATTAATTTAGTCTTGAAAATATATAATTTTAATATTTTATATACTTAAAATTAGTATTTAATCATAATTTTTCACTCTAATAAGATAGATAGCTATAACTTTAATACTTTTTTATAACTAAATTTAATATTTAGTAATATTTTTTTATCAATATAAAGTTGATAAAGATATTAAATTCGATATTTTTTTAATTTCAAAGAGTATTTTGTTAAGTTTTAAAATATAAGGATGAAAATCAATTTAAAAAAAATTATAACAAAGGAAAATTTTAATTTTATTATTTATTATTTATTTATATGTTAATAATTGAAATAAATTGTTATTTTAGTTTATTATATTAAAAATAATAAATGATGAAAAGGTTTTAATTAGTTGTTTATATCATCAAAAGAAGAATTTTGGAGGGAGTGTATTGTATTGATGTGGAGTAACTTTTGATTTGGGGAAGGTTTTGATTTGGATATTGGTTGAAGTTGGGAAGGGAATGAAAAGGATAGGGAAGTTAAGTGCCCTAGGTTTGAGAATGGAGTATTGTGTGGGATTGAGGAGTAAATGCCGTTTAGTTAGGGTTTGGTAGACCCAGCCCTTCATGCTACTCCTAGTGCTTCCCCACACACATACCCTCTCAATCACAAAAAACACACAAATAAAACCTTTGCTTTCTTCTGAAGGACGCGTTCTATTTTTTTCTTCACCCAATTGGGGCTTCTTTAAAATGCACCTTAATTAGTCATCACTCATGAGCCTGCCCCACGTATTGTGTCTAACTTATTCCTCTATTTGAAGCAAAATACGCAACTCAATAATAACCTTTTTTATTGAAAATAAAAAACTTCAATAATCCATATTTACTCATGGGAAAGAAACTGCATTTATTTTTATTAGGCAGAGTAAGAATATTTGTCAGAAACACTTCCATTTAAGGGTCACCCTTTACAATTTAGTCATTCGTATTGTCAATGTCAAATTATACATATATATAGACATAGGTATGCTAATATTTGCTTTAACATGGATAATATTTATAAAATTAAATTTATTTATATTTTTTTTTAGAATAAAGGATATGATAATATTATTTAAGTTAATTATTTGTGTTATTATAAAAAAATTTATAATAATAAATGGTCTTTTAGGATATAAAGAGTTTGGAATTAACATTTGAATGTTTTAAAGTCTATTAAATCGAAAGAGTGAAATGAATGATATGAAGTTGAGTTTATTAAAGAAGAAAAATGAAAAAAAAAATTATTCATTTTATATCTTACATCTATAGTTTTTTTGCGCTGATGTATCTCTTTCACATTTAAGAAAAGTATGGGATCTTGGTTTATGAATTGGTGAAATATTAGACAATCTAAATTTTTTTTGAATGATATTAAAGAAAAGAGTATTATAAAAAAATTCGTAAAATTTGATAGAATGTTTTTCTTAGATGACATTTTAAAAGAATGTCCAAAAACATATCTACAAAATCTTCGTATTTGTAGACCTCAAACCTTGTCCAGCTTCACAAATAAAGCAAGAAGAACTTCGTTCAAAGATGGATAAGGTCTCTTTAGGTCCCTAGGCATGTTTACTAGGCTCCATGGTAGGATAGTAAAGCCTTCTATACGCGAAAATAAGAGAATCATCGCCAAGAGCCAAGACAGTCGTCCCGTCCTATAAGGCGAGACGGTCGTCTCGCCTGACAAGGATCGAGACGACCGTCTCACCCTGGCTGGTGCAGTTTCCTATAAATAGACCTCGCCCTCCCTCATTTGACACAAAATTCGAGATTTTAGCCTCAAATACACTCTCTTACCTTCTTAAGCTTCCTCTAAGCCAACTCTGAAGCATTTCCGGAGTTCGAGCGCTCTCTTTAGACGCTCTGTAGTTAGAACCTTGTGTTCGGTAGAGGAGTGAGCAGCGTTGTAGAGTGAGGAGATAGCCAAAAAACATCATCAATCTTCAAGAATTTAATACAAAGCTTGCTTCGGAGGTTTCTTCCATATACTCTCTTTTATTGTTTTCTTTATCGTTTTCCTTGTATGCATATTAAGTATTAGAGTCATGTAGACATTTCATTTATGCAAGTAGATGAAATAATAGGGTAAAAATATAATTTATTAGTCTTTATTTTATAAACTAGTCCATCATAGGGAACCCGAAAGGGGCGTTGTGGGGTGCTAACACCTTTCCCACACGTAATTAACTCCCTTACCCAACTTTGGTTATAATGGCCAAAGTTGGTTTTCTAAAACCAATGCTTTTTTTTTCTTTTTCGATGTTTACGATAAAAACATCGGTGGCGACTCCATCGAACCTTTTCGAAAACATAAGCTTTAGGTCTAGCCCGATTATTGGACAACCTAAAGGCGTTGAACACCTTCTTTAAAAAACGTGAGTCATATCAAAATCATCGCTCCGACCGCCTCTTTTGACGACGATGACAAATGGTGACTCCACTGGGGAAGCTAGAAAGTTGATCCCATTTAGTGATGAACTAAGTTTAGAAAATAAAAACTTGAAATTATGTTTTTACCCTTTCTTGTTTTATAACATGCTTTACTGTTTGGCTTTAATAATCGTTGTATGTTTATTTTTTGCAATTCTTTGAAATAACAACTGTACATAAACTCTTGCACAACAGTTCCCTCTATACCCGTGGGCAAGTGGGATAACCTTAAGGAGTGGATGACAGATACGATTTGCCATAGTGATGGCCATGAGCCCACTGGTATGGTCAGAAACCACCACTCAAGGTGATAACCTTCCTCTTTTGGCTTAAAGACTGACAAGGCCCTAGTGCCATGCATGGTCTAAGGGCTGGAAGAGTGGGAAACCTATAATGAGGGCACCTTAGAGGCCTGGCCTTGGTGAAAATAATTAGAACAACCTTGAATATGCACTTTTCTGCAGGATACCCCTACCTCGTGATAAAAACGTCATCGCACGGTTCGCGGATGAGTGAATTGTTTGTGCATTTGTTTGTTGTATAGCATAATCATACAACAAAAATAAATATAACAAAATCTCAAAAACCTTTTCATAATAAGTAACTTTATCTCGGACAGTCTATATTTTAGCTAGCCTGGTTTCAGGTTCTTTGTAAGATAAGTAGCTACGTGGACCGACAGAAGAGATAAAGGGTTAAAAGTAATAAGAACAATCTAAAACAATAAAAATAATTTTTACAATAAAAATATTTTTGACAAAGTCAATCATTCATATATGCATCATCTCATAAATGGTAAAACCAAAAGAGAAAATAAATGCATAAAGGAAAGAACGCATACTCATCATCCTAATAAAACATTTCATGCATAAATACATTCATGCTAGGGGGCATTAGATATCCCTAAGACAAAGGCGAAAGAGACCTAAGTGCGTTTGTAATCTTCCACAAGGAAGGAACAAGTGTGCTAAGATATATGGTGACCTTCGTTACACTTATCAGATCATGATGGGGAATGAACCATTATATCAAGATGGGTATGACACTCCACAAAGCGCAAGCTTTAAGGATGATACCTGTTAGATATTGTTTAGATATTATTTGATATTGTTAAGATATTGTTAGATATTGGTAACCACAATATCAAACAATATCTTTTGTTTATTCTGTTACTTTCAGTTACTCTTTTAGTTGTATCTCTCTACTATAAATAGACCACCCTATGTGTGATTTATACACAAGGGAAATTAATTCCAAATCCTATTTTCTCTATATTCAACATGGTATCTAGAGCTTAAGGTTATCTTGAATTTTTTTTTCCGCCTTTTGTCCACTGTTGGAGCCGCCCCACCGCTGCTAGAGCCGCCCCACCGCTGCTGGTAAACTGATCCTCTACATCAGAAAAGAATTATCATTGTCATTGAATTTTATTTGGTAGTGTGAAAGTGCATGTTTAGGAAAGTTCTGGTAAGGAAAGACTTGGTATTTAAGTGTGTCCATTAGTGACCCACCTCTCTTTCCTGGGAACTTACCTAGTGTACTAGTTCACGTTACTGTCACCGCTGTCGCTGGAGTAGTCACCAGGTCCACCGCTGTCGGAGAATTCGCCGGAGTTTCATTTTTTTTTTACCGGTGACATGATTTTGCTTG